ACTAATTAACATTTTTAATGAATATGATTACTAATTAACAAATTAATTAAGATGATTATAAATTTCAAAATTATTTAAGTTAATAATTAAATTCTTAATTTGTTTGACTAATTAAAAAATATGATGTTAATAGTATAATTAAAGTCAATATAAATATGGGGTTGGGTAAATTTATTTTTTGAATATAATTTCATTTGAACTCTTTAAATTAATTGAAAAGGGCATTCTTGGTATTATAAAAAAATATATTGATGCCATCAGCATTGACCGTTAGTCTTCTCAACGTCGGTTAGTCGGAGGGGTNGAAAAGGGCATTCTTGGTATTATAAAAAAATATATTGATGCCATCAGCATTGACCGTTAGTCTTCTCAACGTCGGTTAGTCGGAGGGGTGTAACAGTTACAAGTTTCATATGTCAAGGGGTTTTATGTACTTTTTGAAATGTAAAGGGGTGTCCATGTAATAAAAATAAATATCAGGGGGTGTGAGTGATATTTTCGCTTTTTGATATTCCGCAAACAGTCGTAGGAATGCGACACAAAAACCCTACAATCCCTAGCGCCTCCTCGTCTACGAGTCTCAGGGACTCTCGCCTCTCTCTGCTTCTCTCAGTCGATCGATCCCTAGCGTCTCTCTCGCTGCATCCTCTNAAAAACCCTACAATCCCTAGCGCCTCCTCGTCTACGAGTCTCAGGGACTCTCGCCTCTCTCTGCTTCTCTCAGTCGATCGATCCCTAGCGTCTCTCTCGCTGCATCCTCTTCGAAGCCACAAGCCAGCCACAAGCATCACAGGTTCTCTCTCTCTCTCTCTCTCTCTCTCTCTTTCTGACTCTTGTATGGCAGTCTCTGTGTGAGTCTTAATTCTTTTTGTTTTTCTGAAATTGAAATCATATGATGAGGGTTTCTGGAGTTTTTTGTGTTAAACTAAATTATAATGGGTTTTAATCTTTGATCTATATCTCATTATTGAACTCTAAAATTTGTGGCCTTTTTAATATGTAGGGCTTAAAGCCCATGCAGCCGGCCATCTTGGCTTACGATACTGCTTGTTAGTGTACTCTGGTGGGTGATTGACAGTATTCCTTTCTGTATTGGCAAAAATCTTCACCGGCAAGCCGTTGAAACTACCATTTAAATGGTGGATTGGTGTCAATGTTGACATACTTGATTTCATATACCATCGATTTGAAAGGGAGATGAGCTGCTATTGTCTATATCTGCATTTGGAAACCTTGAGATATAATTATCTGTATAATGGGTTTTTGTTTATTCCTAGCTTTGGTAACGATTTGGCTTATGTAAGCACTAGCTGCATGTTGTAAAATTCATCAGTGAGCACAGATTAGATTTGAGGGAATCCACAATTGTCAACCTAATGACTCTAATCTTGTCCTTGAGCAGAAACAAACTCTTTTAGTTGTCATCATTTTTTTTTTCTTGTGTGCTTTCTTCAGAATGAGTACAAGTTAAATGTTGGGGCAACCTAGAAAAGCACTAGTAGAGATGTGGTGTATATAGTTGCTTTATTCCTTTCATTTTTGACTATAGTCCTTTACTTTGTCAGAATTAATGAAGAAAAGAAAATGGAAAGACAAAAACTAAAAGAAAGGCTAATTGCTTGATGTTTTCTTTTCAACTTAAATGAAATAGATATTTTTTCAAATTATTGGACTAATCATTATAAAAGGGGAATGATGTGGTAAAGCACAAAATTTTCTTCACATGCCCTCGTACTATCCATTTCCTCCTCAATTTGTATGGCAACCACACAAGTGGAAAGATTTTCTTTACACTTTCTCTCCAATTCTATCAATAAATCCACGAACTAGATGAAGTGTAATTATTTTTGTGTATATTACTTATTCTTGTGCATTTCTTGACTGTTGGAAGCAGGTTTTGGTGGCATTTTATTCATTTGGACTGGTGCATCTGGGGAGTCAAAGTTATTGGTTGGAGTCAACATGGGCTTTGATATTGATTGCATACCGAACATTCAGAATCTGCCTGGAGAGTACTTCTGTCCTGTTTGTCGCACACTTGTCTACCCAAATGAAGCACTTCAGTCTCAGTGCACTCATCTATACTGCAAACCTTGTCTGACTTATGCTGCGGGCACTCTCCGGGCCTGCCCCTATGATGGATATTTGGTGACAGAAGCAGATTCTAAGGTTAACATTTGTACTGTGCATCCTAAAGTTTTTTGTTATATTGTCATTCTAAATTTGCTATATTTATATTTCTGGCAGCCACTTATAGAGGTGAATAAAGCACTGGCAGAAACAATAGGCAAAATAGTAGTTCAGTGTCTCTATCAGAAAAGTGGGTGCACATGGCAGGGTCCTTTTTCTGATTGTGCTTCACATTGTTCTGTGTGCGCCTTTGGAAACTCTCCAGTTGTATGCAACAGATGTGGAATCCAAATTGTGCACCGTCAAGTACATGAGCATGCACAGAATTGTCCTGTGAGTATAGTAAGGCAAATGATATGCTTGTACTTAATATACCTATGGGGTGATACTCTTGTCTTGAGCATCTTTTTCCTACTTGGGTTGTTAAACGCAGGGTGTTCCCCAAGCACAACAGGCAGCAGGGAGTATCCAGGATGCTGCAACCTCAGGAACAACTGCTGCTGTTGTAGACCAGAGTCAGAATGCTACTCAATCAGAAGCACCAACTTCTCAGGTGCAGACATCACAAACAACTGCTGCTCCGGTGCCTGGACAGGATCCCAATCCTCAGGCAAATGCAAATCTACAGGCCCAAGCTTCAGTGCCAGCTGCTGTTCCAACTCCAGAACAGTGGTATCAGCAACAATATCAGCAGTACTACCAGCAGTATCCTGGATATGATCCTTACCAGCAGCCTTATCAACAATACTACCCATATCAACAACCGGCCATTCAGCAATTCCAGCAGCCTCCACCACATGTGCTAGGGCAGCAGCAACCTCAGCTCTATTCTCAGCCCCAAGCCCAGCCCCAGCTGCAGGTTCAGTCCCATGTCCAACCCCAGCCCCAATCTCAACCCCAGGCCCAGCCTCAACCTCAGCACCATGCCCAATCTCAGCCCCAGCCCCAGCTGCAGACTCAATCTCAAACTCAGCCTCAAATTCTATCCCAGGGACAGCCTCAACCATATCCACCCGTTCAGGTTCCAGTGGCTTCACAACATCAAAACCAGGCTAACCCACAGCAGCAACCTCACCCTGCAGTGCAGGCCCATTCCCAAACCCAATCTCAGACTCACCCACCCACCCATGGCCACCCACCTTTTCAGCCTCAGCCTTACCCGCAAGCCCAGACCCTTCCACAGCCTCATCCACAGCAACATATGCAGGTGCCGCAATATCAGCAGCCTCATTTGCAGTTGCACCATCCCCAGTTGCAAGTTCAGCCCCCACCTTCTCAGGTTCAACAACAACCTCATCCACATGCCCAAACCCAACCTCAACCTCTATCTCATTCACAAGTGCAGCCACAGGCGCAGCCTCAACATCATCCCCAGCCTCATCCACAATTCCGCCCTCCTCAGCCCAACCAGCCCCCAATTCCGAATTCCCAGCCTCAGACCCCACTTCCACCGGCTCATGCAGTAACAGGTCATCACTCCTATCCGCAATCTCAGCCTCAAATGCAGCTGGTGGCCCCACAACAACATCCTATGCATATGCATCCTTCGAGTGGGTCTTTACCACCCCCAGCTCAAGTGCCAGGTCAGTTCCCGCAACAGCCAACTCAAATGCGGCCACCCCAGTCTCATGCACCATTGCCAAATCAACAACAATCAGCTTTGTTGCCTTCACAAGGTCAAGTCCCGAGCATCCCTTCTTCACAACAGCAGCAAATTCATCCTCATGCTCAGCGTCCTGTTATGAGGCCAAATCATCCACCAGTACCCCAGCAATATCTGCAGCAGCAGCAGCAGCCTTTTCCTTCGCAAGCAGTGGGTCCAGTTCAGAATCAATTACACCAGCATGGCCATTTTGGACAGCAGCAGCAGCCCATACAGTCTCAGTTACGCCCACCGGGTCCACCTCAGTCAATGCCGCAAAATTCTCATGGCCATCTCCAGCCGCAGCAGAATGCTGTGTTGGCTCATGGCATGCAACCCCAGCAGTTTCAAAGTTATGTAGGAAGACCTGTGATGCCAAATCAGGGAATGCAGTCACAGGCCTTTCCACAGGACAGGCCCATGCAGCTTAGTTCAAATCAAGCTTTAGTGAATCAGAATTTTGCAAACAGGCCCAACAACCAACAGCAATCGTCTGCAATGCCCGAGAGGCAAGGTGATCATATATCCGAGAGAAGTGTAGCTATGAGAATTGGAACATCATCTCAGAAGACTGCCGAAAAGGATGCAAATGGTCCTGGAGCTGGTTTGGTTGAAGTAAAGGCTGTGAAACCTGAAGCAGACATGAATAGTGAACAGAAACCCATAGTTGAAGGTGAAGGTAAATCTATGCAAGGTGAAACATCTGCCAAAGATGCAGACTCTGTTGTTCATGCAGTGAAAGATGGCTCAGGTGAGCTTGTAAACAAGCAAATAGTGAAGGAAGAGGGCACTGAGAATACATTGGGGCCTTCATGTGGGGGCAAATTGGCTGAAATTGTGTCTTTGGAGGGGAAAGACGGCCCGAATGTTGCATGTAAAGCAGATGTCCCCTTGGTAGATGGTCCTTCATTGCGGCAAGCAGAATCTCTCGAGGGACAGAAGGTGACATTGTCGGAAAATGCTGCAAATGTGAGCTTGAAGGCCACTGCTGGTTCTGACAAGGGTACAGTAGCAGTTCCTGCTTCCAAAACTGATGCTTCAGTTCAGAATACTATTTCCCAGGGCAATTCACAGGCTACTCATATCGCTAGAGATCCTATGCAACATGGTTATCAGGAAAGAAATTTGAGCCAACCCCAGGTTACTCCTCAAGGTTCTGGTATTGAAGAATTTGGTGGCTTACAGGGGAAGGGATTTGTGCACACTTCTCATCAGTTACCTCCAATGCCTCATGGGCCTTCCACTCCTCATCAGAGACCTGCGGTCCCTTCGATGTTACCGATGGCGCCTCCAGGACCCCCACTTCATGCACAATTGCCAGGGCAACCACCCGTGCCATTGAGGCCTCAGGCACCTGGACTTTTGCCTCAGCCTGGACAGTCATTAAACCCACAGGAGCATTTCCAGCCACCGGTGCTGAATCAGTCTCAAGGTCCTTTTCATTCAGACATTGCCGTCGGGAGGGGCCCTGGACCTGATCATTTTGGTCACTCATATAGAACTTATGATATGCATTCTAGCACTCCTCAAGGGCCAGTACTTAGTGCTGTACATCCCGGTCCTATTGCTCCTCAAGTTGGTCTGATGGGAAGAGCACCACCACATGGTCCTGAAGGTCAGTTTGGTCTGCAGCGTCCTACCAATCCAGTGGATACTAAAATGCTCCCAAATCAGAGACCACATCTCTTCGATGGCAGACAATTGGACTCGCATCCTCCAGGGTCTTTGGAGAGGGGCCCATTTGGGCAGCTTCCTGGTAATGAATCAAATATGAGGAGAATTAATGGGGCGCCAGGCCTTGAATCTTTGCGGGATGAAAGGTTCAACTCCGTGACTGATGAACGTTTAAATGCTTTTGCAATGGAGCCCACTCGACGCTTTGACCAAGGTGAGTTCGAAGATCTCAGAAAATTCCCTAGACCTCCTCATTTGGAGACTGAGCATGCTCCCAAATTTGGTAGTGTTTTTTCCTCATCAAGGCCAATTAACTCGGGTGCTCATGCATTTGGTGTGGATGCAGTATCAAGGCCTCTTGACATGGCACCCCGTGGGTACAATTATGATGCTGGAGAACGAGCAATGGGAGTTGGTCTTCATGATGATAACCGTGGTTGGATGGATTCCACTCATTCTCATCCAGATTTTCTTGGACCAGTTTCTGGATTTGGTCGGCATCAAATGGAGCGGTTGACTCCAAGAAGTCCAGGTAGAGAATACCCTGGTATTCCATCTCGTGGATTTGGAGGCCGCCCACATGGCCAATCAGGTCTTGATGATATTGATAGCAGGGAACCTCGTTCATTTGGTGAGGGATCCAGATCTTTTAACCCACCTTCAGATCCAGTCGGCAATTCGTTTCATGAAACTAGGTTTCCCACTTTGCCTGGCCGCATGCGGAAAGGCGAGCTTGATGGTTCGGGGAATTTGCGAATGGATGAGCATTTGGCATTTGGTCCTCAGAACAATTGGAGGGGTGGAGACTTAATGGGGCAGGAGATTCCGCCTAGCCACTTGCGGAGGGGTGAGCTTTTGGGCCCTCGGAATTTGCAGAGTCATTCGCATTTGGGAGAGCCAACTGGCTTTGGGGCTTTTTCTGGTCATTCACGCATGGGGGAATTGGCTGGGCCTGGGAACTTCTCCCATCATCCACCTTTCAGTGAGTCATTCGGAGGCAACCAGTCAAGTCATCCACGTCTTGGTGAGCCTGGGTTTAGGAGCAGCTACTCCCTCCAGGGATTTCCGAATGAGGGTGGACTATATGCAGTTAGTATTTATATCTCTGATCTCTTAAAATTTTATGCTGCTTATGGCCATTTTTTTTTTTTTGCTTTCTTATTTGTTGGTGTGGTGCGAAGAGAGATCAGAACTAGAATCATGGATTTGTTTCTGCAATGCATATGTGTACACTAGATGTATATATTTTGTCACATTAATTTTTTCAGGGTGACATGGATCCCTTTGATAAATCAAGAAAGAGGAAGCCATGGAGCACAGGATGGTGTCGTATCTGTAAAATTGATTGTGAAACAGTTGAAGGTCTGGACCTGCATTCACAGACAAGGGAACACCAGAAGATGACAATGGATATGGTTATAAGCATCAAGCAGCAGAATTCAAAGAAACAGAAGTAAGTTATATGGATTGTGTAAGACATCATTAATTTTTTGTTCAGAAGTCATTATAGTTTTGGCCTATTTTGTAGGACTTCTAACAAGCATTCTGCACTAGAAGAGGCAAGCAAGCCAAGAAATGCTGGTTTTGAGGGTCGTGGCAATAAACCTTAAGCTGTGTCGATAATTGGGACTCGAGGTGTCATAGTTGGCTTGGGATTATAGTTGTCTCAAGTATTTTTACGTTTAGTCAAATAGGTGATTCACCCTTCTATGTCTCTTTTCTGCTTTCGGGGTCGTTTATGCTAGCTTTCTCATTTCAGGTTGCTGCCTTGTTATTGGAGAGGGTTTTGTGGAACTGAAGTTTCAGTGCAGTTAAGTTTGTTATGCTTATGATTTTGACATTTTAATTTTCTATTCGGATAGTTTTATGTCAAATTAGCAACATTATCGGAGGTGTTACTGCACTTTTCAGTTAATGGATCGATTTGTAGTTCTTTGTATGGAAAATGTGTTCTTGCCCATAGATGAGGATGTTTTGATTGTTTTAACAGTTGAATTGTGTAACATTCACGTGAGTTGAATTACCTGTGTCATATGGGATTTAGGCAGATTGTAACTGCGCTTCTATCCATTAGAAATCTTAGAGAGGATATCCTTTGGTATAAGTAAGGGGGAAAGCTACATTCCTTAAAAAGTTGCCATGCATATAAAAGTTTAGATAACTTTATGTCTAGCCTCGCACTGGTAGTTTTCTTCTGGTATGGAAACTGTCCAAAGTTGTTTGTTGCTTTTCTCATCGTGTTCTGATTTCAGCTCGCTATTTGAGGAACAGGTTAATTGCCCATTTGAAGGTGGAAATCTTACGTGCCAATTAGGATTGCAAGATGAATTATTAACAAGACTCTTAGATTGTAGTTGATTATTCACCCCAAACTTCACTCACCTCTCCCCTTAGTTCTGTCTGCCCCTCCAGCATGTGATACCAAATTGGCCATGAGCTACATTTGCACTAGAAATATTGGAGATGAAGAAAATTAGAATGGGAATGATTGGACCTAAGAAGCACATACACGGGACATGGATACGACACGGACACGTTGACACGAAATTTTTCAAAAAAGTAGGACACGGGCATGTTCGGGGACATGTTTATATATATATATATATATATATATATATATATATTCATGTGTTAAAATAAATATATTTTGAATAATAATCATTCAATTCATCATTTTCTTAATTCTAACAATTCACATCATGATAGCATCAAATAAAAAATCAAATATCACATATACCGATACATATTCATCATAAACATCCTTGATTCAACAATCAATGCCTATTACAATTTTCATTTTTAAAAATTCCCCACTTTGTAAATTCTCATCAATTTTAGCGTGATTCAATTTTGTAACCCTATTTTTCATCACATTACTTTCGTATAGAATATTTAAAATTTGTGTATAATTTTGTAATCGTGCCCGAAATTATGTTTTATCCATGTCCTATGTTCATGTAGTGATTAGAATTCTTTTTATATCATTTGACCCATATTTCTCTAAAATTACAAAAATAACTTAATTATAAAGTTGTCTGACAAGTTTTCAAAAATTTGAAAAAAAATCTTAATACATGTCCTCTAGTGTGTACCCAGCGTGTCAGTCGCGTGTCACTAATGTGTCTTGAAAAAATTTAACAATAAAAAAATTGGAGAGTCGTTTTAGTGTGTCCGACACATGTCCGAGCATGTCTGTGTCCTAGACGTAATCAACACCAACACTTTAGCAAAAATGAAGTGCACGTGCTTCCTAGGACTGGATATATATGATGAACCGGAGGAAGTGTTGCATGATTAGAAGGGATAGAACAACCTTGAGAAGGTGACCGAGGTAATAAATTTTTGAATAATAACTGATTCTTAGGCAATTCTTTAGCTACTTCACTGATTATTTGCAAATCTTCATTTTAGTTTTGCTGATTTGTTGCAATTTTGTAGTTGTAGTGATGGCTTTCTTTTTTTTTTGGCTAATTATACAGTCTGTGTGGTTCTGACCTTATCAAGGTGAAGATTCTTTTATAAATACATTTGGACTTTTTAACACCGGAAAAAATCTTATTTACAAGAGATAATTTAGAAACTAGAACGCCTTGCCATTTTACATCGGTTGTCTCATAAGTTTTTCTCTATGGAGTCTGACAATCATTTTCTGGCATAGTATTGAGTTACATGGCAATCAGGATTTTTATAACTAGCCCCTTCCCTCCCCTCCCCAAAAAAATAAAAATAAAAACACCACCACAACCCAAACACAACCCAAAGAAAACAATGGCACTGCCTATGTTTCGACTGTAGTAATGTTGCTTCTCATGGAAGGAGGGCAATAAGTGAGGAAGATGGTCTAAAGTTTGTACTGTTTCTTAAAAAATATACAAACAATATATCGTAGAGAATAGGAATTAAGAGATAATAAACACATGTTTAATTGAAAAAGCTTCCACACCAATCTGTTTCACATTAGTTTCAAGGTAAATAAGGGAGCTCGAATTTATAAAATTAGTTGTACTTATGTTAGTTCCTCTTCTGGGGATAAAATGTCGTGCCCTATGTGTTTTGTATTTTTATGGGTGACTACATTTAGGCATCTAGAAAAGTTTGCATTTGATCTATGGAAAGTTTATATTAACTGCATTTGTGAATGCAAGCTGAACTGTGGAGTACTGAAAAGGATATATGGACACTTAGAAAAATATGGGATTTGCTATCCAAAAAATAATTCGAAGATGACTAAGAAACCTATAGAAATCCAAAGGTATACAGTATTATACTGGTTGGAAAATATTAAAGGGGAAGATGCACTACTTCGTTGTAACTAAACTCATTTCAGAGCTATAGAATCTTCCCCTGTGACAACTGTGCTATAATTGGAATTGGCTTCTTCCATTTAATATTTTCGCAAGGCAGTACGGAATATTCTATTGAAACTTATGAATACTGCAACTTTTTGAACTTTTATTGTGAGTCATTGGCTTTGTGCTGCTGCATAAATAGAAGCATTGAAATGCTGTTAAAAAATGTGATTCTCCAAAAAATTCCCATTTCCTCAGACTGGAATACCCTTTTTCTTGCCTGAACTGCACAATGGGCTTTTTCTTACATAAAGCAGATGTTAGTATGGCAATGTACTAAGTGTAAGTTGGTTTCTGTTAGGACATGGCCTCTTCTCTGTCTTGGTCCTCTCTCTCTAATATATATATATGTGTGTGTGTGAGTGTGTGTGGCTGCAAGCCATTCTCTCCTCTGTTCTTTACAGCTGTTTGGCTCTTCCCCAGGTCACTGTTGCTCTTTCCTCCCTCTCTCCATTGGTTAGTATCCTTGGACTCTATTCTTCTCAATCTCTCCTTGCCCACCACGACCTCTTTCCCTAATCCAACCCCTAGAATATACAATTATCAATCTAAAGATCTCATACAATATATATAGATACTAGCAATAACCCCATGTCTGAAGACACTTTGTAATACTAAAAAGTGATCAACATTTTAAATTAATTTTTTTATTTAATCATGCAATTTAAAATTAAATTAACAAAAATAAAAAAGAAAGAGGTAGGGGGTGGGAGAAGAGAGGTATAAATGTGAATTGGTAGGGTTGTCTAGCGTTGGGGGTCGCATAATGAAAATTATGTTTTTGATCGGGAAAAGAAATTTTGGGATGAATTTTATATCATTGGATAAAAGTAGATGAAAATTGAATTAATTTTGACTGTAGTTGTGCTTTATAAGTTGAGAATTTAACTTTCTAACTATAATATTACACACATCAATGTGTGTGTGTGTGTATATATATATATTTAGTCTGGGATTCGGGTGTGATTTAAAGGTTTTTGATTCCAGATTTGTGCGCAGATTTATATCTATTTTATTTTTTATGAAAATTTGGATTGGGTAGTTGGATATTGTCGGATAGATTGAAAACTTGTGATTTTAGTACAAAGTCTGAAGCATGTAACAAATATATTTAATTCTAACAAAATTTTGTCAGATTTTTTGGTAATAATAATCAAAACACGCGTTTAGGAACTTTGGGTTTGAGGATACATGTGTAAACTGTGAAAATTCATGTTTTCACGTCTAAATCCTATCATAGGGTCCAATAGTGTTTGAATCTACCAAGGAACTATAAGATTTGTATCACGGAATAGGTAAAGAACCATGATCTTTCATGTGGTGCGTCAATGCCTAAGATTGGGAAAGAAAACCCTACTTTTTTTCAGAAGTCCAAAACCCTAGGCCTTGAATCCATCAAGAGATCCCAATTTCTTTAGCGTTTCTCCCATTTTCCCTCTCTAGAATTATCCTCTTTCTCTCTCTAGAATTATCCTCTTTCTCTCTCTAGAATATGTCTAGGTTTTTAAGAATAAAAGAAAAATGAGAAAAATCATTATTTGAGGGTTTTTATAGTGTCAAAAACGGATTTAAAATGAATTTTAAATGTTAGAATTCGTGCGGTGCATGAGCAAGGTGTCAGATAGTGCTCCAGCGCTAAGCTAGCACCAGCTATTGGAATTTTTTGTCTTGGCATTTGGCATTTTTAAGAGCCCGTCTTGAGCGGCATTGCTCCCGCTTGAGCCCTCTCCTATCTCATCCCAATGTGCCAAAATTACTTTATAAACACCTCCAAACACAATCCTAACCTTCTAAATCATTCCAGTTGGCATATAAACTTAAGAAAATATATACTTTATCAACCTCTCCTATGGATTTAATCATGGATACATGTCACACAAAACAAGGTACTGAAATTTTATTTGAAACTTATCACAACTTACTATAAAATTTATAATAATTAATTTACAATTTTGAATCTTACATCTTCACAGTAGAAATTATGTAAAAATAGAATTCATTATGATATGCAATCATATAGCTAGTAGATAAGAGTTTCCAACATAACAGGCTCTGAACATTGAGAACTTTTTCTATCCAGTTTGTGAGCCATATAAGATTATCATTTCACACCAAATTTTGGGATAGGTGACGGCATGCAGCGCTTCATCCCTTTCCTTGTACCGAAATCAAAATGAGTAATGATCTTGGCAAGGTTGACCCGTATCTCAACATAAGTGGGTATTCTGTTAAATGGCTGCTGTTAGGGGATGTATATTTGTGGTGGTCGATGCCTGTGCTTTGTTAGTGCGGCTTTATCAAGGCTCTGAGGTGACTATATGTATCACATATTGGATAATCTTTTGTTCTTTTGTAACACATAGCTGGTCTTTAGGGTAGTTCTCCCACCAACCGTTATAATCATAGGTTCCACTTTTTAGTCATGTAGAGAGGTTATTACTAGATCTGATTTGATTTTAAATTTAGTGAAGGATTGCAATTGTTTTTTTTTATATTCCTTTAGTAATTTCACTAAATTAAGGCCTACATTGTAATGTTTTGGCAAGTTATTTCAATTATTGAGGCCAAGTTTAAAGTTGATGTTTTTTTTTTTTTTGGTTGAATTCTCTTTTTTATAATACATCTTTTCAATTCAACCTGTCTTTTTTCGGTGAAGCAGACAAGAAAATGGCTGAAAGAGCAGAAAGGTT